TTTTTTTAGTTTTATCTCGAACTACGATTAAAGTTTGTTTTAAGAATACCGGGGTAAGCCTAGTTTGATCTTCCAACCTATGCCTATGTAGGTTAGCATGCTTATTTGTATTTTGTTACGTTTCTTCACAGAGGGGGGGGGGTTCGTCCGAATCCCTTGAACCTCCACTGGATCCGCCACTGAGCTAGGTGCCATCTTTGTTCCCATAGCAGTGCCATTTTTTTTTGCCTTTAGTGGCAAATTCAAAATGATTATGGGTTAATATGAATAATTGAATCATTGTAGATACATCACTGATAGGTTGTAATGGAGCATTGGTGCGAAGAAATTCTTCTTAAGCAACAATACGGTACCATTGTGAGGAATGTTCGTATATAATGAGCAAAACATCCACAGTGACTAGTAATGAGTCCGGTTTAAAATTGTAAATAGAGTAATTTTCTCTGTCAGTGGTATCCTGAACAAAACTAGGTATAAGTGGCAGTAATGGGTTAAGGATCGAGTCCTCGAATCCAGAGATATGTTCCGTGAGTGTGCCGTTGCCTGATACAAAGGCCGTCCTGGTGGATTGATACTTAACGATTTCGCATGATGGTAGATGGTTGAGAGATTAGTTGAATGGTTAGTGGCGCGGTCTGGTGAATTGAGACTATCTTCAACAAGTTTTGGCAACTTGTGTAACTTTGGTATTGTGTATAAGACTCTAAAGTCCTGGGAATAAGAGGAATTAATGATTTAGCTTTCGACGTAGTGTCGGTTGTCAAATTAGCCACCATTTCTAGAGCTTCTTTTCTGTAGGTTTGAGTGTAACCGGAAGGCAGCTGTCCATAGAAGCAAAGAATATAGATAGAGAAAGAACGAGGTATTTTGCATTACAGACTTGTAACGGTTTTTACCGGAAGTGCGTCATATCATGCGAGTCAGGCCCTCTCGCGGCAGTGTGTGAACTGCCTATGTTGATAATGAAAATTATAGGTAATAAGGTGGAGGTGGGCTGCTTCCGATGCCATTTTCGACTTGCAGAAGACGGTCTTTTCTAAACATTATATTTATTTATGTCCTATTATCAAAGAATATTTTTTGCTATTATCCAATAACATTACATGATCTGCTGTTGATTGAAATTAGTTTCATAATAGCTTGTTTATATAATGTAGCCTTATATATTTATCAATAACGAATTTTCACTTGTATTTATCACTTGATAGCGGCCTATTTTCTCACCGTAGTTTCGTACATGATACTGTATATTAAAATACATTCATACAGGGAGAAAACTAATACAGTACAGAACTGCACTAGGGTGGATGCTAAGTGTATTAAAGAAAATAATTATTATTTTATTGTTGATATGAATTACCAGTAAGATTTTTCTGGGCACCTAGAGGTCTGTATTCTCATAATTTTTGCACATCAGCCCCAAGCCCCAACTATGGTGGGGCTGAGGTCTCAAGCAACCCCTACCGCCAAATCCTGCATCTGCCCCAGCAGCATTAGCCGTTTAATTTTTAGATATTCAAATAAACGGCCCTTACTTACACTGTTAATGTGGTAGCGTAGTATGTGATCATAAATACCTATTGATCCTAACCAGGTTGGACAAAATGTTAAATGTTATTATTGATAATATTAATAATAATAATAATAATAATAATAATAATAATAATAATAATAGTAATAATAATAATAATAATAGAAATAATAATAATAATAATAATAATAATAATAATAATAATAATAATAATAAAAAATAATAATAATAACAATAATAATAATAATAAAATTACAATTCGAATAAATTCATCAGGGTTGAAACGTAGCAGTACGTATATATTTGTTGATTGGTTTTAAGTGAAGAATTTTACAATCAATCAATCATTACAAATTGTTGTAATAATACATATCATAAAGATTGATCCTAACCAGGTGAAAAATTGTTAAATGTTGTTATTAATAATATTAATAACAATTATTAATGGGCCTAGTTGTTGTAACAATAACAATCAATAATATTATATTGATGATGATGATGATGATGATGATAATGATGATGATGATCAATAATAATAATAATAATAATAATCATAATGATAAGGATAAGCAATAATAATATAAATTATGAAATTCAAATTTCAAATTCTAATAAACATTTATTATCTTTTTTTTTATATATTTTACTTAACATAATCAGATGATGATGATGATGATGATGATGCTGATAATAATAATAATAATAATAATTATTATTATTATTATTAAAATATAATGAATAATAATTAAATAATCAAGAGGCCTTGTTTAACTAGTTAATTTTAGTATTGTTTAATGCGTTTCTTTGGTATTATTGTACATTTATTTGATAGTTTATACATGAATAACATATGAAATTATATATTGAATGTTATTTTTGAATAATCTGACTTAAAATTGCGTTGAAAGGAACTAAACTGTGAACTTATATCCTTTTGCCAAAGTTTGTCAACATGTCTTGAATCAGAAAACCCACGGCAAAAGGGCATAACTGACATTTTGAGCGCAAAAATCAATATTTATAGAAAAAATGTATGCTACACTGGAAGAGATATTATTTGTCTATTTGAATACATGAACCATGAAATCAAACACTAAAACACATTTTAGGGCTAAATAAATTACACGTTTTGCTTAATATCTCCAAAACAGCAAATTGTCAGTTATGCCCTTTTGCCATGGGAGGGCAGTCCAATGGTTATTAATAACTTCCTAAAGTCAACTATCGGTTTGTTAGGATGGAGAAAGTCTCAACCAGGAGCATTTAATCGTTTATATGGGCTACATAGAAGAATTGATTATACTCATTGAAATCCAATCCAAAATTGACAGGGCCCAACTTACAGCCTGCCATAGTTGTTCTCGTTCCTGGTGAGGTGAAGTATAATTTGGCCACAATAGGTGGTGCTGGTTCAAGGCTAGAGTATACCATATCAGAGAGTGTTATCAGTACTGGTATATACAACTACGTTAATTTTCACATTGTTAACTAGGGCAGTTGCATGCAGCGCGTTTTCAGACCTTACTCTAATGATAGTTATTTCTTCTATCGTTGCTCTTGTTGTTGTCCTCACTAGCTCATTCTTGTCTCCCTGTGCCCACAACCGTTAATTTGCTGTATGAGAAGCAGTGGGGCGAGTCAAAATTCATCGATGCCTCCACAGTCTATTGATTAGACTTGCCACAAGTTACTTTACTTGTGGTTTTGGGAGGAATTATTATGTGCAAAAACAACTGTTAGGCACAAGCCATAGATATGACTCTGGTTAGTAGTATAAGCCCATGACGTTGGTGAACTGTGGGGAAATACTAAATTAGTTTACATAGCCCCCTCCCAGATGGATTCGTCCCTTGAATCCAAGGGCTTAACTACAATTAAAAGATAACGGAATTTTAAAAATTAAATTAACAAAAGTAAATAGAAAATTATCAATCATGAATCATAACAAATAATAAATATTACTCCTACCCAGAGGGTCTACTATGCCCATGTGGAACACATGGGGGTGTTAAGAGCCTCATGTGAACATTTAGTTTGATGATTTGTTTAAGTTATAGCCACAGTTCTGTCCTCTTGGGCCTTCACTCCATCATCTCTTGATTAAACAAGACACATGATTAACGATACCTAGATCCCTCTTATATCTATTAAGTCGTCTGCGAATGCGCCGGAGGTTTCGCTTTGGACTGGGCCCCAACTGTATCTCAGGTAATGTAACTGGTACAGGCTCAGTTTCTGGCTCTGCCTCCTGCCGGGAACAGTATCGAAATATGTTCTGAAGTTCTGTTTCATGCTCTGCTTCTGTCTCAGGCATCTTCTAGTTTCGCTGTTGGCAATGGCACTGGTTCCTCTATGGTTTCAGGCTCTGTTTCGTCAGGCCACCTTTGTGAAATCACACCAACATAGGACTTAAAATGGTTACAGTGAACTACCTTTCCAGGGCAAATTGGACTCTTTTAATCCGGAACGTAATTTCGGTTAGTTTTTGCACTATCCTCCACGGTCCTTTCCACCTACTTTCCAACTTAGGAGACATAACCTTTTTCTTCCTTTCATCGAATCTCCAAACAAACTGTCCCACCTTCAATCCTGGTTCTTGTGCCACTCTGTCATAGAGTCGCTTCTGCCTTCTGGTACTGCGCTTCAACATAGTATTTGCTCGTTCAAGTGGACTAAAAACAGACCATTGCTGCAGAGGTGCTTTTCGCTTACGGCGTGGTAACTTCCGCTGTGCACACTTTGTACATTTACGGATCCAGGCGCTCACTTCCCCCATCATTCGTGTTGAGCGTCTTTACAGTCTTATATACACCTTGGTATCCCCTTGTTACACCTCCATGAACCTCGTCCAAAATCCATTCCCTTAAAGACGTGGGTACAATTAGCTTCCAGGTAATCTCTTGTCCATCGTTCTACTCCCACTTCCGGTACAGGACACCATCACGTAACTGCAGAGCCTCCCACTGCACCCAATAGGCACGACACTCTGGCTACACTGTATCTCATTCCGATCGAAGATTCTTTAGTCACGATGACCCAACGTATTGTCTCGTCCTCTCGTTCTTTCGTACCGATTTCAGCTAAGGAAACGTCTGGTACCACACATAATACGGAAAATCGTTCTATTTTCTCAGCTACAAAGGGCCAACATTAGTTAGCTTCTTCTTTCTCCCGTCCACTAACCATTCCTCTAGGATGAAAATAGCTCTCGTCATGACTAACACACTGGATGCTCCCTCTCTTGAGCCGTAGCTCCAGGCACCGAAAGTCAAGGACTGCTCCAACTTCCATTCCATGCCTAATATTCCAGAGGAGCCAATTTCCACCACCAGTACTTTACTCGTTCTGGTCGTATGCTTACTCGTATCTCTAAAATGACACTTCCAAACACTTTGAGTGCTGCACCATCTGCTTGCTGCATTTAGGTACAATTGGTATCTAGCGGTGGTCTCTTTTTCTCTGGTATTCTATGTATAAGGATGCTGGTACTAAAGTACGTGTAGCCCCGGTAACCACTAATAAGTTAACGTCCACACCCATCACCTGCGCTTTCGCCAAGGCCAAGGAGTGGACAGTCCCTTCACTGTCTTGTCCTCCTTATAAGGTACTGGTTCACAAACATTTTCGAACACTTGAAAGCTGGCTGACTAGCCCTTTTTCTCTATCCCAACTGGTTTCACTAGGCATAGAACTCAGCCCATTACTCGCCAGTTGGTCACAGGTTAGTGGCGTTGTGTACTCTCGTTCCTCTGCTATCTGCACTATGACTGCTGCTGTAGCAGGCCAACTCGTAGCAAGCTCGTTTTGAATCATTTCAATTGATTGAGGTTCATTCTCACGTTCACAGCTAGGCCTGGCTCCTACTGATATATGGAAATGATGTAGGCTGCAATTCGGTTACTTCTGCTGCCATTACTGGTACATAATCCGGTTCAACAGGTACATTCTGCATGCTTACACTGGAAATATTCGCCATCTGCTGCACTCGTTCTAGCCTGGCCATTTCATCTTCGACCAATTTAATATCGCTGTCTACTGAATTTTATCGCATATCATGCTCTAAAATTCCTGCATGTCTAGGCCTATATTTCTTTTCTCGTTCCTTTTTAACTCGTACTTTGGTTCTACTTGGAAGGGAGACAGGCTGTCGTTCTGGTACAACTGGTACAATTTCTCGTTCAACATGTACACTCTGTATATAATGTACTAGCCTAACTGAATCGTAGCGTTCACACTCTTCTGTGGTTCTTAAACTTAGAAAAATGGTTACTAAAAGAAATCACAATTAATCAAAATATACGTGCATACAAATAATGAGTTGTCAATAAATACAGCAATGCAATAGAAATCCACACTTCTTACACCAATGTAACGGACCCGGTCCTTGTCAAGATGGCCTCGGGTTGGGCCAGAGCTGTGGGCCCTGGACTTTAACGAATAACAAATAAAAGACAAAATTGACTAACTCAATATTCTCACTTCCAGTGAGTCAAATTCTTTATTTAGCACGTCCGATTCAATAACTATTACAATTATGATCACTCACCCTTCATTAATCCCACGTAATTGCGATGCTACAAGACGGATAGATAGACTCTGAAACAGGTACCCTATCTAACGGATCAGCCCGCTTTACTACTGGAAGTCGATATTACCGTTGCAGACGAATTCCCCAGCATTATTCTTACTCTACCACTGACTGTACTTAACTTGTGTAGTTAGTTTGCATATCTTGCACATCAAAACAAGGCACTGGAGAGCCAATCTAATTGGTTAAACTAAGTTTGGGCTGATCCACTTCCTATCTGGATTAGTCTATTCGCCATGACGTTGGTGACCCTGGCGAAATACCAAATTCCGTTACAATACTTTGTAGACTAACAGTATTGCCAGGGCCACACGGAACATTAAAATACTTTGTGAACTAGCAGTATTGCAGTATTGACACCAGGGTGTCGGGTTTGTTTTCTTCGACTTGAGGTTTCTGTTGGCCGCTAGGATGGGAATATTCGGTTAGCTGTCCATGGCTTCCGACCCCTTCTCGTTTAAGGGATTCTCCTCCTGGGCGCCAACCTGCCTAGGCTGATGGCGACTCAACGTTAATTATAAAACTAGTATGATATACGATATACAATTGTTTGATATTAAAACTTAGCATTTTAGTAAAAAATTGTGTATTTTTTGGTTGTTAATGTTTATTATTATTATTATTATTATTATTATTATTATTATTATTATTATTATTATTATTATTTCTATTACAGTATTGTTAATTATTATTATTATTATTATTAATAATATTATTATTTTTAGTATTATTACCGATAAAATACTACTAATATTTTTTACCAGTCAACAAAGTTAACGACTCATAGTAAAATATATAAAAACATTATAATACACAATTGTTTTATGTTTTATTTTGAAACTTAACATTTTCAGCCAAAAAATATGTACTTTGTTGTTTTTAGGGTGTTTTTTATGGTTGATGTTGAAACATTTGAGTAAAGAATTGTGTACTTAGTTGTATTTATTTATTTATTTTTATTCATTCATTCATTCATTCATTCATTCATTCATTCATTCATTCATTCATTCATTCATTCATTCATTCATTCATTCATTCATTCATTCATTCATTCATTCATTCATTAATTAATTAATTCATTTATTTATTTATTTATTTATTTATTTATTTATTTATTTATTTATTTATTTATTTATTTATTCATTTATTCATTCATTCATTTATTTATTTATTTAACAACATCCGTCCGTCCGTCCGTCCTTCCATCTGTCCATCCATTTATTTATTTTAATACATTTGGGTAAAAAATTGTGTACTTCCTGGTTCTTAATGTATTTTGATCGTAATTGTTATTTTCGTGATGGAATAGACAATAACTGGATTTGCGTCAGGAGAAACATGTATAGGTGTAATTTTGGCCTATCGTTGACGACTCATGACGTGCAAATGTACTGAATACTGAAAATAAATTGCAGGTTGCTCTCGGTTGGACTCGAACCCACGATCTCCAGATCACTAGCCTGGCATCATACCTCTAGACCAACGAGCTCGCGCCTGATAAACAGGGTTGAATTCGAGTCCTAGTAAGCAACGGGTACTGCAGTGTTGTTGGTCGTGATGGAATAGGCAATAACTGGATTTGCGTTTGGAAAAAGATGTATAGGTTTAATTTTTCCCTATCTGACGTGCAAATGTACTGAGTACTCAGTACGTTTGAAAACAATTGCGAAAAAACATCGCAAGTTGTTGTTTCGGGTGGGACTGAAACCCACATCTCCAGATCACTAGACTTTAATCATACCTCTAGACAACAGAGCTTCCTCCTGATGGCAAGGGTTGGATTCGAGTCCAAGTAAGCAGCGGGTACTACAGTGTTAATAGGAATTGTTATTGTCGTGATGGAATAGACAATAACTGGATTTGCGTCAGGAGAAACATGTGTAGGTGTAATTTTTCCCAACCGGTACGTTTGAAAACAATTGCGAAAAAAAAAACTTTCTGGGAGGTCCCAAAGAAAAACATTATTAAATTTTGGTAACGATCCAGATTTTGGGAGTGGTTTTTTTGGGTCTATTAAAAAATAATTTACATATTGTTCATAGATTTCACCGTCAATGGAACACAAAATAATATTGTGTATTTATTGCTGTTTAAAGTGATTATAAATTAATTCTTTGACTACAAACCATAATCATGACCGTATCATTGTCATTGCCACCGCTTCCGCCTATCCTCCACAACTGATATCGTTATCGTATTGTTTGATGTTAAAATTGAGCATGTCAGTAACATTGTAATAGAGAGCAGCTTAGCTCAGTCGGCTAAACTAGTAGTAGCCATTGTTTGTGCGCTGAACCGTGGATATATCTTGGTCGCCGATTCGATTGCTATAACTGCTCTCTTTGTATTTTAGCTAAAGGGCTGAAATGCCATTTACGATAGTGCACAGTCTTTCAGATGAGACGTTTAAGCCTCTGGTCCCGTGTGCATAATAGCCCCATGTGCACATTAAAGAACACAGTACACATAACAGGAGATTGTCTCCCTTTGTACTGCACAATCACCACCAGAGGGACCGACAAAGTCTTTTCAGACTTTCGTGGGTTATCATTGGTGTTTACACCGAATAAATCCGATCCAACCGAAACACATTGGGTATTTTGACACTTGTAAATAAAGACTTTTCTTTTTAAGTAATAACAAAATAAATTGTTTTTATTTTGTAGCTGCTGGTCCTACTACATCCACTACAGGTTTTCATCACAGGTCAGCAACGTCTGAAGGTAAGAAAGACAAGACGAAATATGGAGCTCTTGGTTTGAACGACGACTTAATCTTAGAACGGTTTCACTCATCCTTGATCATTCTTGCGTTTTCTGTAAATACGGTACAAACTGCGTCCTATAATCCAAACGACAATGACAACTCAACGTTGTCATATGCGCAAATGAATTTATGTGACCGAATGGGCCAATGATTAATCTCAGATAAGATAGTATTATACATACTCCAAGTATCAAAATGCACGCCATCGTGTCAGGATTCAATATTTCTTCATTAATTATGTCATCAGGAATGAAAAATTATCCATTTTGCAAGCTTATATACACAAGTACTAAAAGTTTTTGACTAACCAAAACCTTACCCCTAGTAGGTGACATAGCTGTGCATAAACTAATGATCAAAGCATCCTTACCATACTGCTCAAAGTTACTTACAAAAACAAAAAAAATCTCTTTTGAATCTTTCAGCCCATTGTTAAGCAATGGGTGTAGCCTACGTATGGCAAACGCTTCTTTAAACAATAGTATAGATCAATTTTTCAAAACTGTCAATAATGTTAGTATTAGAAAATATTAAACCTAATTTATTACTTATATTACAGGCTACATTATCATTTTCAAGTACACTTTGTAAACCTATATCATATTGGAATGCCTCATAATTTTGTATATGATCATTTATAACACTATCATATCGTGAATAATGTTCTTTAAGTCTAGTTATTAAGTATCTATCTGTCTTACCAATATAATCACTATTATAGCCAGGACATTTAAAATGATAAACAACAGAGCTCCTATAATATTATTTCTCAAGGGTTTGATCTTTAGTAAATACAAAGTGAGACATTTTTTGTACTGCCATAAAGTTATGAATTTTACCTCTTTAACCATGGAGGAATTAGTTTTCCTCCATGCTTTAACTAAGTGAATCTTATGGTTCCATGGTGCAAAGATATCATAATGGATATATTGACCTCTTTGTCTATTTTTACGATACATACTCATGCTTCATACCCTGTTGTGAAATTTGTAAATCCAGAAAATCTACTAAATCACTGAAATGATTCAAAAGTAAAATTAATCTGTTTATGAAAAGGGTTAAAGTGACGTAGGATGTGATGAAAATCATTAGGTTTAGCTAGCACAAGTGTGTCTTCAACAAAACGAGCATAAAACTTAATAATACCTGATTCTAATCCTTTGCTTAAACAAAGTAAAGAAACACTTACTTAAAGAGGTAAAATTCATTAATTTATGGCAGTACAAAATTGTCTCTCACGTTGTATCTACTAAAGATCAAACCCCTAAGGAATATAGGAGCTCCGTTGTTTATCATTTTAAATGTCCAGGTTGTAATAGTGATTATATTGGTAAGACAGATAGCTTGTAAATATGGATCATTTTTGCTGATGATTCCTGATGATGACATAATTAATGTCAAAATATTGAATCCCGACACGATGGCGTGCATTTCGATACTTGGAGTATTATACTAACGAATTTATGTGACGTCATTACGTTTTAGGCCCTACCGACTAATGAATAATTACGCATATCCCATATTAGCATTTAATATTTCTTTGGATTTTATACATTATTAGAATCGGCATCTGTTGTTATAAAATTTGTGACAGAAACACCGGAATTATCCGAGGTTAATTTGACATCTGATCCGAATAGCGTCACATTCTCGACATCAGTATTTGATTCACTGAAAGAAGGTATGCGGAATTTAAACTAAAACAACAAATCATAACATTACTATTATAAGTCTAATATATTATGTCACATTTCAACAATTGTTATTTCCTACTTTTGATTAAATTAGAATTTTGTGTGCTCAGTATCTGTGAATATTACCATCAAACAATAAAACATCTGAATCCCAATATAAAGCATGCAACATCCAACAACTAAATAATAAAAATAATAATAACTAGACTTACTTTGTCTGTTCGTAAACATAACATAGGGCTTTCTTCTTTGATGTAATGAAAAGTGATGTTGATATTTAAAAAGTCTTTTGTAAAACACGAAAAAACAAAAATAAAATCATGCAAAAAATTAAGAAGTTAAAACACAATAAAAGCAACTGGATGTCAGGGAAACTTGAACTATGGCAGCTAATAATATTCAAAACATGTAAAATGATGTCATAATTTGATATGCACATCGTTGATATGGTCTTTGGTTGGAAAATACTTATAGAAACTTAAAAGACGGAAAGTGACCAAGATGCCAGTCAGAAAAACTATGTGCAAAAAATAAGAAAACGGGATGGAAAAAAATAAATTAGAAAAAACAACGGCTTTTTCTAAAAAAATCCCTCATATTCTACTTCGGATCGCCACTAAAGTTTTAACACTTCTCCATTGAAACATGACAAACTATTCTGTAAAGTGTCATTTACTAACTCCGTTTACACGGCCACTTAACACCTGTATCATCGGATAAACGCAATCATCGCGGTTATCTCCTACCGTGTAAACATGGCTAATATGAAATAATATCACCACCAGCAGAGCCGTAGATAGAGAGAATGTTTGGCCAACTTGGCGCATGGCGCCATGTTGTCACCAAACAGCGTGCGCGCGTATAGCTTTATAACACTTTATAAAACACTGATGCTGGATAAACTTTCTTTCATTATTCTGTTCATGAGGACAATTCAATTATCGGATTTTAAAATATCATTGTAAATATCATATATAATCATATTTACCTAATTGAAGCTAATTAATCAACGCGCTGACGTATTATTTTGAGAAGATAAAGTGAGGACGATTCTTTATTTTTCGTTACGATTATTATTTTGTTTTGAAAGACTATCATCTAGGCCTAGGCGCTAGGCTTATACCTAGTAGTTGCTAGCAGCCTACATCTAGCCTAGAGAGGCATAGGCTAGTCTAGCCTATAGTAGGGCAGGCCCCGTCTCCCTATTTTAGGCCCTAATATCTTTGAGTCAACACTGCAGAGGAGAAAGGTTAGGTTTTGCAGACAGAGTAGGTTGCAATGTGAATCGTCGGCAATAATATGTTAATTTCGCCTGTAAATGAATGATAAATAATATTATAAAATCATGAAAGTTTCTAATTATCTAGGCCTATGACTTGGATATATTTTAAACTTTAATTTATGAAATAAAATATGCTGGTCATATTCAAACCGATACAAATAGCCTAGGCCTATTCTTTGTAAATTGTAATCTAAACAATAAATCAAAGTTTATTTTTGTTTTTTTTGTACACACTATGCCCAAATCATAATAAAGAAGCTAGGCCTATGTAAGTAAAATATAATATTAGTAAGTTATTATTATTATCATTATATTACTGTATTATTATTATTATTATTATTAATATTATTATTAATATTATTATTATTATTATTATTCATTGAATTTTTGATTTGTAATTGGAAAACATGTAACGTTCTTATTTAGTGTATGTATTAAAACAATCAATATAATACAATTATATTTTATTTTTTACTTTAAAATCTTCTTAGTTGCACAATTGTTTTGTAAAGCACAATTGGGCATGTTTGCATAGCACAGGACTCCTTTTATTGGAGGATTCAATATTTATTTTTAATTATATAATAATTTGACTGATACTTCATGTAGCTTTCTGGAAATATAGTTATTAACAACAAAGTGCAACATTGCATCTTTTCGAAATATAACTGCTGCTTGAAAATCCTTCCTTTTTTATTATCATTGTAATTATATTTATAGTATTATAGGCCGATTTAAGTACTACCTTATGGTGTTAGGCCGAAGAAGTACCGAAATCTAGGCCTGCCTAGTGTTAGGCCTAGGCCTGCCTAGTGTTAGGCCTAGGCCTGCCTAGTGTTAGGCCTAGGCCTGCCTAGTGTTAGGCCTAGGCCTGCCTAATGTTAGGCCCAGCCCAGCAGCAGGAGGAGGAGGAGGAGGATTAGTAGTAGGATTAATACCGCGAAGTGGGGCGGGCGGTACATGCCTTAATTTACTACGTGGATAGCGAGATTTTTTCGATCGCCATGCAAAGTTTAAATAAAATCCCAAATCCTCCTCCTTTTTGGAATTTTAGGAAATCGATACATCTTAGTGGGTCGTGACAAAGTGCGAGCCAGCGAGTCATGCGAGCCAATGCGCGAGCCAGCGAGCCATGCGAGATATACAATTAAATCCTCTTTTTTTTCCCACCGGGCAGCTTTGCCTGTGTAGTCCAGTCATGCGCAGTAAATACACTTTTTCGAATCGTCGATCCGGAAGTATGCAGCGCTGATAGAGATGTTGTTAAAATACAGATACAGATACATACATACAGATATATTTATATATATGTACTGTATTTATTTATATATCTATTTATATATATATTATTTTATATATGCTGTATATATTTATATATTTATTTATATATTTTTATATTTATTTGTATATTTATATATATATTTATTTGTATATTCATTTATATATATAGGCCTATGTATATATTTATTAAATATTTATATATATATTTATATATTTATTTATTTATATATATACTGTATTATTGTTTTATATTATATACTGTAATTATTTATATATATATTTATATATTTGTTTGTATATTTTTGTATATTTATTTATATAATTTTTTGTATGTATTTATATATATTTATATGTTTATATATTTATTTATATAATTATTTAAATTTTTTTATATATTGTTTGTATATTTATATATATATTAATATGTTCATATATTTATTTATATATTTATATATATATATTTATATATATATATATATCCATTTGTATATATATATATATATTATACATATATATCTACTTATATATATATATGTACTGTATTTATTTCTATATCTATTTATATATATATTATTTATATATACTGCATATATTTATATATTTATTTCTATA